TTAGGGCTTTTGACTGAAATAGAGACATAAGATTTTCTTCATTTTATATATTGAGGTGAGACGATGTTTCCATTTGTAATATCAATCCAATCCACTTCATATTTAGCAGAATTCATGTGTGATGCTCGAGTAGAAAGGAGGAGTACATGAATGAACCAATACCACATCTGAATGAGAATGATCTGAGACCATAGAAGCATAGTTAAGAAAAGAGAATTGATAGTTACTACCTATACTAACAAGGTGCATTTTCCTTTTCGATGGCTCAATCATAAGAACTCCAAAGTTAAGCGTGCGTGACTTGTAAGTAGACGGTGGCGCAGTTAGGTCACAGGAGATTCARGGAATGCCGGGACAAAAATCACGAATCGGCATGAAAAAATCTCCTCGATGCTACACACTTTATTTAGATTATTGAGACTCACTATTATGTTCAACACATCCAAGAATTTCATTCACACCACTGAATTTTTTAGACTTGCGATGATTTATGCGGCTTTCAGGGATTTCATATCCATGTTACTATGTCGAAAGCATGACCCTGCTATCATTTGTTAACACAACATGCTTATTTATAGTCAATCTCATACAAATATAGGTRGTGTTCGTGTTGGGAGTGAAAAATAGCCTACATTAACTAGATAAGAGAAAAATCATGAGGATATATACAAGCAAGAACAACAATATCTCTATTGATACAAGCCTTTTGAGTGAAACCAAGAGTAAAATCATAAAGATTATAATTATTAGATAATATCATACCATTATATAAATTATACWGACGTTGATTATCCTTTAACAATTTACTTAAGACTCAGGCAGGAGCAAATGTGGGTTGGGCCTGAGTCTCCCTTAAACATTTTAAAATACAGGATTAGTATMTAAAARTCTGACATTAATTATCAAATTTACCTTCAGCTTAGTCACAATTGCATGCACTAGCCTCGACCCGAGCTTGCACTTATATATATTTTTAAAATATAATTCGTATTTTTCCATGATTCGTTATTTTTCCTAATTTTTTCCATTTAATGTCTCCATGAGTTTTATAAAAATACAAAATTTCGTCATTTTTTTATTTTTAGAGGAAAAAAAATTATAAAGTAGGTCAATTTTTAATTTTAAAAAATAGAAATTGTAGATTTCCTATACAAATAAGTTAAAGGGTTTTTTTTCTCACAAAGTTTGGAGAGAATATTTAAAATATGATCTTGCTAGCCTCAAAATTACTTTTTGAATTCTTGGAACTACTTTCTTAGCTTGTAAATTAGTATGAAATCCCCTCAACAAAATCTCTGAATCCGTCATTGAATCCAAGATCTTTACTTCTAATTCATGTCTCTAATACTCAAAATGAGCACAATTGACGTATTAAATGAGAAAGAGTAGCACAATTGATATCGTAAGGGTAGAAGAAGTTGAACACAAAAACACAAACAACCAATAAATATATATATATATATATATATATATATATATATATATAAAAGACAACACAATTTGTCAAAAAAAAAATTACAATTGGGTCTCCATAAGAAATTAACCATTGAAAAACAAAAGCCTTTTTGGCTTTTACCATGAAAGCAAATGTTTTTGGAATTGGATGCATATAAAGAAGAAAGTTTTGGTGTGGATTCTTCATTTTCAAGTTTCAAACCCAATGAATTAAAGCAACACAAGTAAAAGTGCTTTGGGATGTGCTGCCTTTGCCTTTTTGGATTCTCTCTTGTGATTACCAACCAATCTTTATCCCCCTTCCATATCCAAATCTTATCCATTCAAATTCCTTTTCCCCACATCTCCCCATTTCTTTTAACACCTTTCTTAGTCAATTTTGATGTCTCTACGAGTCAACCATTCAAAGCCACGTGACGTATTCGAGTCAGTTAACATATGTTTGATAAAATCATCTAATCCTACGACGGTTGATTGTTAAGAAATTTTTATACCATTTTCAATATTATAAGTATGCTGCCATCGTACAATTTAAGTCCATTGTTATTTTTTTTCACCTGCTTTCATGTCATCAGATCAATCTATAATAGTTATGTAAGGGATAGTTTTAGTGAGATTTGACATCTTAAACTTTAAAATATTAAGTCAAAGTTATTAAGTAGAAGGTTTACGAAACTTGGGTTTGAGAAATTTGTGTTTGAAGTACATATGTCTAAAAGAGTAAATTTATGGTACTATTGGAATTCAGTAGTTTATTCAATGTCATCGGCCAAAACTATTGAATTTCAAATTGTCACCTCAAATACATAGTCAGTGTCGCTTCAAATACTTGAGTATAAAACGAAAAGTTGTCATATTCTTCTCGTACAATAAATGTTTAAAAGACGATTTTTTCTTTACAAGGAGCAAGAATATGCACGTGCATCAGGTGCTTGATATCACAGGTGGGGAAATAAGCCGATTTTATTTTTATAAACAATAATTTGATTATTTATTTATTTATTATTTTTTCATCGCAAAATAAAAGGAGAATATTAGGCAACATCCTTTTCTTTATGCTTTACATGGAAGCTTCTTATTTAGCAAATTTTTATATTTTATTTTGAAAACAGCATGCGGAGGACTTTCGCCTATTTAAATATTTATGGGTTTAATCAGGAAATTAAAATCAGACGGCTGCGGCTAATTGGATAAGAGTGAACGTGAATTTTGAAAGCCAACATTTTATTTTCTCCTTTTGGATATTAATTGCTAATTAATAGCCTATGATATCCAATTAGCGATAGAGAGCCTGCCGCCTTCAAGACTGACGAGTTCTTCAACTAATAACATTGTCGTTAAGTATCTCATCGAAAATATAACTAAGTTGGCGTGATATATCCGAATTTAAATATATCAATTGTTACGTGAATTTTTATCCTGTATTATATCCATCATGTAGCACAATCTAATAAATGGAGAATGTTGGTCATAAACTATAACGCATTCACATGAATTGTAACATCGTGCTACTAATCTATACGTAATTTTTGAATATTATTGTTCATTGCATGTAGTAGGATTGAATAAATTCATAACGGAAATTTAAATACCCTAATGCATTCACTTAAAGTTCAATAAATATGCAAGAATTCAAGGAACAACAGCCTACAAAATAAGAAAACTTATTAAAGAATTCAATTAATATGATTCATATGATCAAATAAATAAAATAATAGGACCGTTTATGGGTCCAATTTAAAAAAACATAAATTGGATTCAAATTACATTACAAAAAAAAATAAAGGGACACATTTATTTTATTTCTGTTTACATCAAAAGTCAGAAAATTTTCAGCAGTCTGATGTCACTTTCGTAAAATAAATTGAAATTTTGGAGAATTTTTTTTATAAAATGTATTAAATAATAAGAGTCCTACGTATTTTTGGTTTCCAATTTGACCAAATTAATCAAAAAGTCCGATTAAAGATGAAAATTTGGCTTCTTCCTCCGACGTGTCGTTTCCTTTGAACCCGATGACCTTTTATCGAATAAAACGACCTACAATTCCTATTTCCCTTTCACATTATATATATATATATATATATCCTGAAATTTATAAAACCTCAATTTTAATAATCGTAATAATTATTAATTAACTGAAAAAAAAATGAGGTGGATTTCTTGAAAATGACCTCTGTGGTTTCAAGTGAGCTACGTGGACTCACCCCATTGGAAAACAACAACGTTTTATTAAGACTATTACGTCATACCCTATAAGAATAAAAGATTTAAATTTATAATGTTTAAGGAGAGATGCGATAAATATGAGTTTATAATATGATATTTTTTATTGGTTTATTTGTATTTAAATTAGGACTAAATATATATGTTTTAATACCTAATATTTTAACTTTTTCTTTCGATTCCATTTTTACTGGTTTAAAAACTTCAATTTAGTGCCTCACATGTAAAATGTTTTAATTACACCACTTTTTCTGGTGAATTTTTTAAAATTAACTAATAATAAACAACTTACATAACATGATTAATTAATACGTGGATAAAAATTTAGAGAAAATAAAACTAATCCACCCATGAGAGAAATGGGGACATTTGTTTGCCAACATACTAGCTAGAAATTTGAAGGAGGAATATTAGAAATTTTATACCTTAGTTATAAATTTATGTGAACCAACTAATAGTATATTTGTCAACATGAATTTAGCTAAGTGTACTTATGAATTAATAATCAAATGGGGTATATAAGTCATTTTTTAATGACGTGCCGATTGGGCCAATATCTAGTTTAGCATGTTTTATCCTTCCTAATAAAGCAACGAGGAGGTCACCGAACCACAAAATTGTTCCAGTTCTTACGATTGAGTTACCCGAAAAGGAATGATTAGTACCTTGTTAGTATAGGTAGTGACTATCGAATTTTTTAAGTTTTTCTTATCATTCTTCCATGATCTTAGGATCTCTTTCATTCGGATGTGGTATCAATTCATTCATGTATTCGTCTTCTCTAACATACACTAATATTTTAATTAAATATAAATTTATAAAAATTATTTTAAGAAAAACTATTTGTTTATAAAGTGGTTTAATCAGAAGATATGTCAAACTCATTTTTAAATCTAGTACACTATACATCATCAATCAATTTTAACATTAACCAACCGAAAGAATACAATTAAAATTCTTAAAATGTACGGGATTAAGTTGAAAAACCATCCTCCCCCAAGAGACTAAAATAAATATTTATTATTTAATAAAAAAAGTAAATCCAAAATAAATAGGAACTCTATTGTAGCAAGTAATTATAAATTTACAATTATTCTCATTAAAAGAAGAAAAAAGATTCGTTGAATTTTGAAGTCGGACACACGGTTTATCTAATCCGTAAACATTTAGGTTTGACTAGCCGTCCACATTGAACGTCAACCGTCGAAATCACCACGTGGAAAGATCCCAGCAATGGCTTTGACTCAATTTTCTCTCTCATCGTGGCCTATATAATTCCCCAGCTCATCCCATGAGAAGCAACCAAATTTTCAGTCTCTTCACACACCCTCTTCTTTAACAAATTGGTCTCTCCTTTTCTTCATAGCTCCGTCGTATATTCCGCCGCCATGCCTGCCGGAGGTTTCGCCACCGCACCCGGCGGCGTCGAGTTCGAGGCCAAGATCACTCCCATCGTCATCATTTCTTGCATGATGGCCGCCACTGGAGGCCTCATGTTTGGTTACGACGTAGGCGTTTCTGGTAAACAAATTCAACCAAATTATTCAATAGGACCACCGCAATATTTCTTTGCAATTACAACTTTTTTTCCTTATATTATATAAATTAATTGATCATAATGTTTCAACCTTCTTGAATAATTCATACGTTACAGAATTCAAATCTAAAACAAGATTATTATCGTTACTATGTTATGATTATGCGATTTTGCTTCTATGGGAAAGTCAAAAGGTTTTTTTTTTTCCTTTTGAGAAAAGGGTATTTGTTTGGTAAGACTGGACATGAAGTATGGATACATAAAAAGGAAATATTGGAAAAAGGGTTGTTTTTTTAAAAAATAAATAGTAATTAAAGAGGGAAAGATAATGATTTTCTAACCCTTTTTTTGTTGGTTCGTTAATTAGTTTCATAATTATTATTTTTATTTAGAGAATTAATGATTAAATTGGACCGATGCAGGTGGAGTAACGTCGATGCCGTCGTTTTTGGCAAAATTCTTCCCGTCGGTTCACCGGAGGATCCAAGAGGGAGACGATAGTAATTACTGCAAATATGATAACCAAGGCCTCCAATTGTTCACGTCATCGTTGTATCTCGCCGGATTAACTGCCACCTTCTTCGCCTCCTACACCACCCGGCGGCTCGGCCGCCGCCCGACCATGCTGATCGCCGGTATCTTCTTCATCATCGGAACTGTTCTCAACGCTGCCGCTCAAGACCTCGCCATGCTCATCATCGGCAGGATCTTGCTCGGTTGTGGTGTCGGTTTCGCCAACCAGGTAAAATTTCTCTTTCGAGCATGTGTCTGACATGTCTTTTAAAATATAGGTTAAAAAACACTGTACTTTCGCTAAAGTAACAATTTAGTCCTTGTAATTTAAAGTTGGTAACGATTTAGTCCTTATTGTGAAATTATTTTTATTTAGTTTCTTGTATGTATAGATTGATAAACTAAAGAGGGAACAAATATGTTTATGAATTAAAAAAATTAAATTGTTATATAATAAAATTTGACACTTAATTTTAATGAATTTTTTTACGATAGAGACTAAATTGTTACAAATTTTAAACTACAGAAACTAACTAAATCATTACAAGTTAAAGTTGAGAGGCTAATTTGTTACCTTAGAGAAAATAAAGGGACTAAATCGTTACCAACCGAAATTATTGTTACTAAAGTGAAAGTACATGAACCAAATGTGTTTTTAAACCTAAAATATATTAATGAGTTACTAGCGTATAAAGAAATTTTCAAATTATATCATGAATATGATTCATGTCAAACATGTACCACAAATAAAATATAATACACTTGCTTATTAAAAAAAATTAATTGCAAATTAATATTACCAAGGAGAAGAGAATCGTTTGAAAATTATGGGGTCCGATCCACAATGTTAGTGAATCATGTGACTCCAAAGAATAAAAATAGGATTTTGGTCTTGCAATAGAAATATTCGAGGTGTTGAAAATTATGTTTTTTTTTTCATGATTTATTTAGAGCCTCTTAAAAATATCTAGAAAGAGAGAAACAAACTAAAAAAAAAACCTTAACATATGAAATTATATGAAAATTCCAAAAAAAAAAAAAAAAGTGACCATACCATGGGTCCAAGTCCACATCATCTCCACGAATCTTTTCAAACCCACTCGTTTTTTTTCCCTCCTAAATTTATTGTATATTTGACTATTTTTAGTGGTGTGATGGAAACCTTTTTTATTTATTTATTACATTTATAAAAAAAAATAGATGAAATAAAATTTTATAGATGAAAAAGATGTATAACTTTTGAGCCAAATTTCTCAATTTTGTATTTGGTTTCCAAATCATTTTCTGCCTCTCTAAAGTCTTTTGTCTTGAGTTGGATAACGTGATGCTTTGGCCACCTTTTGGATTCCCCATAGAATTATTATATATTTATTTAAAAAAGAAATAATTTTTTCTTGGTTGTGCTTGTGTGGAGGTGTACGATTTTTTTAATTAATCCTAGATTTTTGTATCAATAATATTCTGTGGTTAAATTCAACTCTCCCAAATTATTTAAAGTTGAAAATTAAGGAGCTTTGTTTTTAGCATCTTGACGGGTTGACTATTGAGTTTTGAAATGGTAATTTTATTTATTTAAAAATTTATGAGTTCATTAACCCCATATATATATATATATGTATATAATTGCATTTGTATTATCGAGAATAATAAAAGAAAAATAATAATAAATGTAAGGTTAGCGGGGCAGGCAGGGTCTAGGGAGGGAAGTTGCGTGAAATTTTAAAATTAGTTGGGGCTACAATACAAATATGAGAAATTAAAATGAGAGTTTGATTTAATTTGAGAGTAATGTATTTAAAAATGATAAAATAAATGCAGGCAGTGCCACTGTTTCTATCGGAAATTGCACCGACGAGAATACGTGGAGGGCTGAATATATTGTTCCAACTCAACGTCACCATTGGCATCCTTTTCGCCAGTCTCATCAACTACGGCACTGCCAAGTCAGTCTCTCTCCTTACATTTTATTTTTCTCCACTTATTTTATTTTCTTATTTTTCATTTTTATTTCTAGTATATTCATTATAGAAGAAAAAAAAAGTAGGTTAATTAAGGATCTCATTGTATGCAATCTTATAGATCCAATGAATATATAATTGCCTCACCTGTATAGGAAAACTATCTTTAGATTTATGATCCAAACAGTAAAAATTTTAAAAATATTTTTAGTGTTTTCAGATCTTGAATTTGAAACTTTAAAAATGTAGAATTGCATTAAGAAAGATAAAATCTTTTATAAATATATTATATTGTGTTATAAACTCTTTTCATTTTTGTTAAAATTAAAAAATTAATATATAATATTGTAAAATTAATAATTATACAAATTTTATAATATATATGTTAATAAATCAATTAATATTATGTTAGATTTAATTCAAATATTTAGTTGAAAATTTTTTAAATTGAGATTCAATTTCTAAATCTACTATCAAACACATATCCGAAAAGACAATCCGTCTATAATTTTAGAAGTTTGAATTTGATTTATATACTATAGATTTATTTTTTATGTTTATTTTTTAAAATAAGATTTATTGAGAAGTTTTTATTTGGTCTAGACAGTAAGATTGAATATGACATGGATCAAATATAAGATTTTACCCACTTGAAAAACACACAATTCTTTTCTTTTTGTTTTTTCTTTTTTGAGTTTAACGAATACAAAATTAAGAGATTAGTTTTATCCATTCATTCAAAGTGTCATTTAGATCGATCGATCTTGTCTCTCTAATGCTAATACCCAATACATTTACTCAAATATAAAACATGCTCTCATCCTAATATAAATAGAAAATAAAATCCATTAATTACATCCTCCAATCTAATTAATTGAATTTAACTAAAACATTGATTTGGGAGCAGAATCAAGGACGGCTGGGGATGGAGACTGTCACTGGGCCTCGCCGGAGTTCCCGCCGGTCTACTCACGATCGGAGCTCTCCTGGTGGTGGAAACCCCGAACAGCCTCATCGAACGGGGTCGTTTCGAGGAAGGAAAAGCCACTCTGAGAAAAATCAGAGGAACCGAAAACATCGAACCGGAGTTTCAAGAACTGGTCCAAGCGAGCCGGGCTGCGGAACAAGTGAAGCACCCGTTCCGAAACCTACTGAAGCGCCGCAACCGCCCCCAGCTCATCATCGCCGTCGCCCTCCAGATCTTCCAACAACTCACCGGAATCAACGCCATCATGTTCTACGCGCCGGTCCTCTTCAACACGCTCGGCTTCAAGTCCGACGCCGCCCTCTACTCCGCCGTCATCACCGGCGCCGTCAACGTCCTCTCCACCGTCGTCTCCATCTACTCCGTCGACAAGCTCGGCCGCCGCATCCTCCTCCTCGAGGCCGGCGTCCAGATGTTCTTATCTCAAATCGTGATCGCCGTGATTTTGGGGATCAAGGTGAAGGACGACGTCAACAATCTCCACAACGTGCTCGCGATTGTCGTGGTGGTGATGATCTGTACGTTCGTGTCGTCGTTCGCGTGGTCGTGGGGCCCGCTCGGATGGCTGATTCCGAGCGAGACATTTCCGTTGGAGACGCGATCGGCGGGGCAGAGCGTGACGGTGTGCGTGAATCTGGTGTTCACGTTCGTGATCGCGCAGGCGTTTCTGTCGATGCTCTGCCATTTCAAGTTCGGGATCTTTTTGTTCTTCTCCGGGTGGGTGCTTGTGATGTCTGTGTTTGTTCTGTTTCTGCTGCCGGAGACGAAGAACATTCCGATCGAGGAGATGACGGAGCGCGTGTGGAAGCGCCACTGGCTGTGGAGGAGATTCATGGACGGCGACGGCGCCGAGGAGACTGTGAAGCCGGCCCGGATTAATGGAGTGGGGCCGGAGAAAAATGGGCGGAGTAATGGATTTGAGTATGTTTCGTCGCAATTGTAGATTTTCAGGAGTAGAGAAATTGGGCGTAATTCGTTTTTCCTTCGTCGGAGGAAAATTATGAATTGTTATTTATGATTGTTGTAATTATTATTATTATTATGTTTCTCCGTTTGTTATATTTTTGCTGTGCTTTAGGGCTCTGGGGAAACAGAAACAGAGCACACCAGAGGATTAATGGTGTTTAACATTTCAATTTTTATATTAGTTCAAACTATTTTTTACTTCAATCATTTCAGTTTTATTTTTACTTATTTACATCTGTTTAATATATATATATATATTATATTTTTTTTTTGTGGAGTTTAATTGTAGAGTGAAGAACGATCAACTTTTAGAATGTATTAAAATATTTTATCTACACTGTTCCATGGGTAAGAAACTACTTCAATATAGTTAGACAAAAGATTCATCAATATTCGTCGACAGGATTTCATGTGATAAGCTATAAGATATTTGTACATACTCTATTGATTCAACGCCTAATAGGTTCACGTGTTCAAATGATTTAATAAATTGATGAACCTATGTGACAGTCGTAACTTACTTGATTGTAAACAACGTACTACTTTCTTCTCTTGTAAGAACAACGTAAAGACAATAAGACATCAATTGCAAACTCGTTCGTGAGTTTGATTGTAGTTAGGTCTGGAAGAATAGAGAGTATGTGCGGAGGAGTGGGAAGAGAGGAAAGTGGCGACTCTATAAACTTTTTACCCTCCATACACTGTACTAGACAATAGTGCCTCTATACCCTGAATTGTAGAAATATTGCGGGAGGTGATATGCCCTCTAAATACCCTTTGCTAAATGAAAATTACTATTTTTTGAACTAATTCGAGCTATGCTTCAATTTGTGATTTCTCTTTTCAATTTAGTTCATAATATTTCAACATTTTTTATTTGTTAATGGAGGTTGAATGTGATTAACATTATATAATGTGATCCACGAGATAAAAGACAGTAAAATATAATAAATTTACTATATAACAACCACAGGGGAAAGTAGTATAATTAAAAAATGTTAAAGTGAATCGAAAAGGAAGTAAATTAGACTAATTAACTCAAACATGTTAAATTAAATTACAATTTTTGATTATTGAAAATCTTATCTTTGAAAGGAATATATATGTTAGATGTAGATCTCAAATCACATTGTGTAGTGGACAAGAAGATCTAAAAGAGCATAATAAACTTGTATGTTGGTTAATTATTTCAATACATTATTAAAAATGATATTATAAATAATTACGAGCATGAAATCTCCATATATAACATTGTTTTCAATATTTTTTATAATAACTTCCTTACTTCAATATATTATACTCTCGTTGCTTATTTTTTGAGCAACTAAAGACTTGCAAAATTTTGTTTCCCATAGACTAATTAAAATCTTATTCTCAAAATTATGAACTTTGAAGATTTAAAATTTTAAGTTTATTGCTTCATAATCTATATCTCTAAAATTATGAAAAAACAACTATTTTTTATTCTTACCGTTATTTTATTTTTAACAATTGATAATGTGGCTTCGATCGAGTTATTGATATTGACATAGAGATGTATATTGCAGTCGACCAAGCATTGGTTGATCAAAAGACCACTTTATCGCCTCTCTAACCATCATTTTATCTAACATATGAATTATTCGATAGAACTTTACCACATATTATGTTAGGACTTACCATTTTTGTTTATCATCCAAAAATTTCATCGACATTACCAAATCTATAAAGTTTTACCACTTTCGTTCAACATAATTTGAAAATTTCAATCACATGGTTGTCTTATTCAAATTCTTATTCCTTTTTTAAGGACATTGAACAACTACTATCCTATTATCTTCGCTTTGGTATGATGTTATCTACATCATGTTAGGTCTACATAGATTTATTTTTGAACTCAAGTCGTCCAAAGTTTAATAGCAAAAATGTTCTCATTACTTTTAAATTCATAACTTTTATTTCTTCTGATCAACCAGCTTTTACAGATAGTATCGTATCTACCTTATTTATCATCCTCTCGCAGCCAACCCTAAGAGATGATAATAACTATTCACCAAATAAAAATTCCCAAATCCCATTGATACGTGACTCATGGTGATGGTGATAAGAAAATTGATCAAATCATGGTTGTTTGGACCAAAATCCAAATCTCAGTTGCAGACAAATCAATATGGAAAAAGGTGCAAAAATTTTTGGTGAATCATATCAATTATGGATACAACATAATTCAAAAAAAAATGGTAAGCAAAAAGCAACCTCTAATTAATTGTTGCTCTAACTTAAAGACAACATCTTATCAGCTGGCTCCAAATATGCCTATAGATAAGTACCAAAAACACACTCTTCAATCAATTGAATCAACCAAAAAAAGGACAACACCAAATACCTAAATGGTCAAATTCAAACAAAGGTACAATTTTTGTTTTTTTTTTTTTTTGAATTTCTCGTTGTTTTGAAAAGCTTCTGATAACATCGATATAAATAGTAGTTAGCGGTTTCTATCGAATAATCTTCAACGACCGTTTCTTAAAAAGACGACTTTGTATTCGGTTTGTATCATACCCCTCACTAACTACCTAACTGTTTTAACATTCTTCCCTTTTAAGTTCTTCAACTTCCAACAATTAGCATTCCAATCATAACACCCATCAAGTATTTGTATTTTCATTGTTAAAGATCCAACGGCTGAAAACAGTTCTTTCTTTGGTTTCAAAATAAATTGTGATTCAGTTGATTAAATAATATGGTTAAAAAGAAATTAATGGGTCTTAAATTTTAATTAATGCTAATTTACTATATGGGGCCCTTTCAATTTTGGTCTACTGAACAGTTTCAAAACTTTTGATGAATGACATGCCACCATCCTCTTCATAATGACATTTTCTTGTCAACTATCATTGTCTTTCCCAAATTCTCATTCTTTTACATTTTTGCTTTTTCATAAGCTATAATTTAATGGAAAAAAAAAGGACCGAAATAATTGTTGTTTCTTAGATTCTAAGATCCAATGTCTAAAATGGGGTCACACCAAACTGAAAAATTGAATTAAAAAATAAATAAAATACCCAAAAAAAAGGACATTATATATACTGAAATGGAAGGCATGGCTTTTAAGGGAAGTTATCAATCTCAAATTCGAAACCCATTTGAGCGAAGTGAAAATTGAGAGAGGGTAACCGCCGGAAAAATAAAATAATGGGTGTCACGGCGGAGAGAGCGGCGGCGGCGGCGGTGGTGATGGCGATGCTGCAGCAGGTGGCGATGGCGGCGGTTTATAAGGTGGGAGACGCCGCCGGCTGGACCATCGCCGGCGGCGTCGATTATAAGCAGTGGGCCGCCACCAAGACTTTCGAGCCCGGCGACGTAATCGGTAAATTCCTTTCTTCTTCTTAATTTGTTTTTTTGGGTCATTGAAATTCGAAAGATTATAATCATAACAAATAAAACCCTTTTTTTTTATTTTCTCGTCTTCATGGGTTTTTCATCAATTTCTTCACCTTTTAGTTGCTCAATTCCCCCTTTTTCCCCTCTCTTTTAGAAAATCTCTCTTTCATGCCCCTAAGGAATGAATTTTTTTTTAATCTCTTACATATTTAACTATATAAAACTATATTCTTATTATCGAACTTGAACTTGAATTTTTTCTCGGTTTTGTCCGATGGAACTTGAGATATTACTCACCGCAATAAAAAAAAATTAACGATGATTTATTATATTTTCTCTCTTTTTTATACAATCATCTTTCTTAATTGTCAATTTTTTAATAGTAATGACGAATAGGACCTAGCGATAAAAGCTAAAATTTATCTTTTCATCGGAATTTTTTGATTTTATTTTTTTGTTTCTTTCACTTTTAGGTTTTGATGAGTATTGGGAGAGAGAGAATGTGTAGTTTAGTGGAATTTCCGACAAAAGTTGTGATAAATTTTGATATTGCAAAGAGGGTTTAAAGAAAGTTCCAAAAATAAACAAAAGGGAAAGGGAACACCAACAGCAATTAGGTGGGCTTTGAGCATGTGATTAGTGGGCCACACTTAATGGGCCTTGTAGGGCCCATTTGTATGTGTTTTTTCCCCCCACCCACTCACTCACGCCTTCATTATTACCTCTTTCTTCACAAGTTGAAAGAATCTAATTCAATTCCCATGCTTCTTTGCTTTTCACTTTTCACTGTTTTCCTTTTTCTTTTCTTTTTGACAATTTCGTTAAGTTTTTCTGTTTTTATTGTGAAAATGAACGGAGAAATTTTTGGAGAAACATTTTCGTAACTACTTACTTGTTCTTTACCTTTCATTATCCATTTATGCTTTCAAAAATAAATTAGTTTGAACATATATTTTGCTTTTTGGACTTGAGTTTTATTGTGATTTTTCTCTCATTGTATACTTTCAAATAGTCTACTTTCATCATAAAAAAGGAAAAAAAATCCATATCAAAATATGAATACGACAAGAAAATAAATTTAATTATATTTTTGGTATCTGTCAATTGGACCATAGTTACTGTATCATAACATGTATTAAAGGTTCGATATTTGAAGAAAAATACTTGAATGCTGATCACTCTTAAGTAATGCTGATTAGTAATAACTTAAGTATTGTCCGTCCCCACCAGAGGAGCTAAGAAAATTTTATAGGGAGGAAAAGAATTTTATATTCCTTTGTTTTCTGATCAAAGATAGAACCAAAAAGGGGCTTCTTTCTTCTTACATCGTTTACAGTTATTTGAGTTAAATTAAGAGAGGAAAATGTAAAAATGGAGAATTCATTTGAAAAATGATGAGTTACAAGAAATTCAAGGGTGATCTTCTAGAATGATATATTGTTGTGTTTTGTTAACACTTAACAGTATTCGAGTACAACGCCCAATTTCACAACGTAATGAGGGTGACGCATAGCATGTACAAATCATGCAATGTCTCTAAGCCTTTAGAGACTCACTCCTCCGGCAACGACTCCATAACCATCAAATCCAGAGGCCACCACTTCTTCCTCTGCGGCGTCCCGGGCCACTGCCAGGCTGGTCAGAAGCTCGACATCAACGTCCTCCGCCTCTCCTCCCCCGCCGCAGCCCCCACTACCCCCTCCGCCTTGGCCTCTCCCTCCGTTCCTCTCGCCCGCACTCCCTCCGCCCCGTCCCCCAGCGCCAGCACCACCACTGCCTCTCATCTGCATCCCCTCATCACTGCCTTGCTTTTTGCCTTCTGTGTTGCAGCTCTTGCTTAGACTAGAGGACCCTTGTTTTTTTTTTTTTTTTTTGCTTGTGGGTACAGACTACAGAGCCAATTTTACTTGGCAGCTTCTTTTTGTAGAATGTTTGAATAAGTTTCAGTCCTTTTTTCTGCAGATTTGTTGAGGACTGTACTTTGGCAATAACAAAATGCTCCGTGCATTTTGAGTAGATGTGAAGTTTACAAAAATTGAGTACATTCAAATTTGTTTAAGTTTGACTTGTGTGATCCTAACAAACAATTAAATGAGAAAACAAAAAATTCATATACATATACTACCCCTACATATTTCCTTTGATTAAATATTTTTTTAGATATAACATGTAAGAACAAAGATTCGAACTCACAACTATATAATTATAATTTGAAATAGTCGTCTTGACCGGTTGCATGAAACTTAACCCTTTAATTAAGTAATTGAACCATGCAAGTCAGAAATTTTAAGTTATAAAACTATATACATAGTAATTATGTCGTACCAATTTTTCATTATTGGTATTAACAATAAAGAATAAATTGAAGCATGATTAAAAATCAAGATTATTTCAATTATAAATTTATAACCAATCAATTATTGTTATAATTATAATCGATCAATATCTTTAAAAAAGAAAAACACCATCATTAATAATTATTTTGAGGAAAAAACTACATTTATAATTTTATTTGTAAAAATTGATACTCAAAAGAAGAAATTAAAAATCAAACTATCCATTCAAAATTTCCAAGATCGAGAATTAGGAGTGTTCACGGGGCTGGATGGGGATCGGAAAGGCTAACCCTTTCCCATTCCCATTCCCATTCCCATTCCCATTCCCGTCCCCACTAAACTTTGCAAGAATCAAGATGAAAATTCCCTACAGAGAATTTGCAAGGATCAGATTCCCCACAAGAATAATTCTTTTTTTTTTTTAACAAATTTTCAATTAAATATTTTTTTTAAAGAATTCAAATCAAATGCTTAATTTCCAATAAATTATCACCCATATGATTGAGTCCCTCCTCATTTAAAGAAAAAAAATTTAAATGCTTAGGGTTTTATACATATCAAACAGGGCGGGGCAGGGACGGAGACCAGAACAAAACGTCCCCCATACTCATCTGTGCCTAAACGGGGATTCTCCGCCCTGTCCCTGTAGAGTTCAACCCATTCTCATGTGTTCTCATGTGTCTCTTATTCTTGTCTGAGATAGAAGGGAAAACTTTTCCCAAGTATGATGACCACTAGACCTTATCCCATTTCCAAACAAAGATTCTCCATTCCCAAATCTCCAACAATTCCACACCCATATCAGATTTCCCATTCCCAAATGTCCACAAAAAGTCCAGCCAACACATCTTCGTAACGGGGTACGGTACTAACAGGGTATATAATTATATAATAATTAATATAATGTTAAACAAAAATAAACTAAGCAGCAACTCTACAATCCTCCCAAAAACCTGCCTTTCCCAACTTTCTATCTTTACATGTTATGATACAACTCTGCTTCAGCTAGGAATCCCAATTCCCAGCCCGCAAACAATAAAGAATTATGTTCCTAATGGGGAAATGAAGAAGAAACCATAATAGAAGTAAGTAATCTCACCATCTTCCTCCGACGCTACTATCTTTCAGCCGTCTCGGTTAGTTATTGACCAGAAGTCCGTTCAGAAGAGGCCTCTCCACATCCCCATTCCTTGTAACTATTCTTCTATCTGGACGCCGAGCTCTGCCATTATCACAATATAGAGGATTAATAAGTTAACATTGAACACTTTGAACAATTGGGACGAATTTTCCACATTAATACTTCTTTCGGCACATTATGCAAACTTGTTTCGGTTGCGGCCAAGTCATAGTCATAAGAATAAATCTGAACAGAAAAGCGTTGTTAAGGCTTCTCCTCATATTCAAGGAAATCTCACAGAATAACAGATGTCTGGGTGGGTCAGAGTAGATAGCTCCTTTTATGGGTTTTACTTCAAAGCCAATGTGTTTTAGGCAACATAGAACTAGAAGCTGTTGGATGGAATATCTATGTCACAAACTTATTCATCTAAGTGAGCAAAATATTCCTGTTTTATATATCCATTTTGATAGACGAGTAAAGTATCACAGAGAGTCAGAGACCTTACACTAGTCGATTGTAGTTCCATTGCATCCGAATCTTCGCCATCCTGCGTGGAGATGATTATAACTTGGTGATATCAGACTAGAGCATTTGAAATATTAGAAGATAGTAAGGCAGCTACATTACCTCTATCAACAAATCCTTTCGAGTTATCAAACCGACCACATTTGATGGACGGGGAACGACGAATGCATGTCTCAGACCTAGTTGCCGGAAAAGATTATATACCTATGCCATTGCAAGATACAACATTTTGACTTCCAAGATTGTGGCAACCACACATAACAAAAAACTAGGTAAAACTATGAAGCAAATAAATTCATCACCTTTGTCAAAGACATGTCTTCTGGGACAATATATGGAGATGGATTCAGATATGGGAGTAGATCGATGTACATTTCCATGTCCTCTGAACTGATGTGTATATCATCAATAGAAATTCCTTTACTGGAAGCGGGTTTCACAAATTCACTAAAATTGTGCCTGAAGTTCCAAGGATCGGTCAGAATTCAATGGATAAGTGAGGATAACCCCGTTCAGTATAATCTGAGATCAATCATCCATTCACCTGCTTGGTATGGATCCTCTTGGATCCGAAGGCAAGGGACTGTGCTGAAAATCTACTTTAGACTGTAAAAGTCCTAACAAATAACTGCATCAACAATTATATAGTTAGGGTTTATGGGATGCTTGAATCATATATCGGCCCACACACGCCTCCAAAAAAGAAAAAGGAAAAAAAAAAGCCTGGGGATGTCCCTTCGCGCTATACCTTCGAAGCATTAGTCCGATGACACGTGTTTCGCCATTCCGAGAGTAATCAATCACCTAAGGAGCAAGGGGAAAATGAAGCACAACCTTAAGAATTAGGTGAATAAATGAGGGGCAAAACAAGAATTTAGCCATGCTCACAGGAAAGCCATTATGTCTGTTGCTCCGCAAAATAGAAACAACATCAGCAACCTTAACAACACGGGGGAAGGAGACAACCTTCAAACAGAGAAAACAACATATTAGTAAAGAAGCGTCTAGATACTACACATATTATCAAAAAAGTTATATGCAATTGACTCGTTTCAATTATTTTAAACCACACAAATTGTCCTTATTTCCTACATATAGCATATTTATTTCTCATTAACACTCAGTAGCATATTTGTTTGGGAAAGTGTCAAGATTTTTGCTTCTTCATGGGCTGCTGCCTGCTAGTATAAAGGTTTTTTGTAACTATGGTGTCTCTCAAATCTTTGCCAATTGGGAGTCTTCTTTGTAATCCCTTGGGTTGAGAGGATATCTCATCTCCCTGCTTTTGTACCTTCTCTTTTGATAATGAAAGTTATGTTTCTTATAAAAAAAAAATATATATACAAAAGGTAAATTACAATACAAAAGGAGTTTCTATAATAAGTGAGCATCACCCTTTTTCCACAGGCCTCCTTTGCTGTAATTTTCCGCATCTGGTACTTTGGTCTTGATTCCAGTAATGGAATACCCTTCAATTGAGCCTGCTCTTCATATAGGCCTTCATTAAAGGCATCACCAACAGCCTGAAGGTGTTATATGAATAAGAGAACTATCACGTGAATCCATGAATATGAAAAGATATATATATGACTGACGTACCTTGGAAATCAGAAGGACAAGCATGATGAGGGGTAAAAATTTCAAGTTGTTTGAAATTTCAACCATGATGACACACAGAGACACTGTCATTCGCATAGAACCTCCTAGAAAAGATGCAGCGCCCAACAAAGCATATCTAGAAAACCAGTAAGATTTGGAAA